TTTTTATTTCTTTCTCTTTTCTAATTGCTGTGGCTAATGTTTCCAGAACTATATTGAACAGGAGTGGTGATAGTGGGCATTCTTGTCTTTTTCCTGATTTTAGCAGGAAGGTCCATTTGTTTTCAATGAAGATGTCAAAAAAATCAATGAGGTCAAGATTACCTTTTCAATAAGTTGTGCAAGAATATTAAATATTTCTATAGGAAACAGTCATCAATAAGTTTTTTTTTTTGGTACTGGGGATCGAACTCGGGTCCTTGTGCTTGTGAGGCAGGCAGTGGAACCACTGAGCCCTACCAAAGATTTTTTATTGTAAAATGAATTCAAAGACAACTGATCTTACATAAAATCTAAAACCATAAACTGACTTAAAATTATGGAAGAAAATACTGGTGGCTTAGAAAGCATTCTTTACTAGGCAAAAAAAAAAAAAAAGAAAGAAAGAAAGAACCAAAAGAGAAAGAACAGAAAGAATGAATTTAAATTTTTTAAAATTTAAAAATTTTGCATATCAAAATTATTGCAATAATGAAAAAGCAAATCACAGGTAATAAGAAAGCATTTGTAGAACATATCCCTGGTAAAAGACATGCATGGAGAATATAGCAAGAACTTTTACGAATCAACAATAGGATGATGTGTTATGAAATTTTTTAAATATTAGAATTCCAGTATTGGCCAACACAGAGTAGCCCCAGCCCTTCTAGGTACTCCTTGGAGAAAAAAAAAATCCTTGGACATAACACACAAGCAGGAGAATTTTGGAAGATAAAAGAGAAGACAGCACTGCCTAGATTTCCACGGGTTCCTTTTTGGGGAGACAGAGAGCCCCCAAACCAGAAAGAGGTGGTGGATGAAGCCCCAAGAAGAGCCTGTTCCCCACTGCCCAAGTTCTAGCCTAAGGTAGCCTAATATAGAAATGACTTTTGACAATACCTGCCCATCAAATACTCTGAAAAATGCCCACCCTCTCCATCCTCCAGCAGTGGCCCCACAGCTTTAGCAAAGCTGAGTAGAGTTTAATATTTTATTTTATTTTTTTATTTGCCATTCATACATCTTCGCAGTACATGATGATTACATTCATCGTGGGGAGTTGGTCCATTTATATAACACAGCTTGATTCTTTTTATGTCACCTCCTCTTTCTCCCACCTCCATCTGTTGGTCCCCTTCCCACTGACAAAAGATAAAATCTAATATTTTATACGCACACATACACACACACACACACACACACACACACACACACCAGCACAAGAAGACAGGGACACTAATCCCCATGGACGTGGTGTTCATTTGCCAAGTGCAGAGCTGATCTTCCATCTCCTGCCAGCAGAAATAGCCCTGTACTGCATCTGCCATGCAGCATCACAGTGCACACCAAGGCTGAGCCCCTCCTGCAATCACCAAGGCAAATAAAATGGAGTAGTATAAGGCAAGGCTCGTCTTCAATTAGCTTAGCCATCTATCTCCACACCTTGTATGACAGAGGAAACAGTCCTACTTAAAATTCAAGTTTTTACCTACTCAATTATTGTATTCCCATTGTCAAATAAGTCTGGAAAAAATTTAAAATCACGTGGACTGTGATCACATTAAGTTCATGGCCATCAAAGTGGTCCATTTCCATTGCCCAGCATTTACACAAGGTGTGATTAACATATACAGTGAATTTGAAAAGAAAACATTGCACTGAGACACATTGCCATTAATCACCCCCAAAATACTCCCACTTGCTTTGAACACACTTGTCCCATCATCTGCCACTTTCTGAAGCAGTTCTGAAAGTCCTCTTTCATGTCTTTATGAGGTATCTTCAGAAATATGGTGAATGCTGCTGAGTGCCATCTAACGGAAGGCGGGCTCATAAAAACATCACAGTGTGTCCTCATCCACCCAATCGGGCATCATGGAACTTCCGGCTCTTCTCCAAAGTCAAAATGACCATGAAAGGATGAATGTTTTGAATCAATTAAGGACAACAAGGCAGCCATGATAGCACACCTAAAGACATTCATGAAAGAGGACTTTTATAACTGTTTCAGAAGATGTCAAGAACCATGGAATAAGTGTGTTTGACATGAGGATCAGTATTTTGAGGGGGATCAGTAGCAATGTGTCTTTTACTGTAATACATTTTTAACATTTAAATAATACCCAATCTCTTGTCTCTTTTAGATGATGATTTCTAAACCTTTCCTTTCTTTTCAAATCTTCAATATCTCTTTCTCATAACCAGTTTTACCAGTTGACTTTACTTCTTTCATCTAGAGGAGGAAAAGAAGGACAGGAAAAAAAGGGAGAAAGGAAGGGAAGAGAGGGAGGAAGAGAGAAAGAAGAAAGGGAGGCAAGGAGAGGGAGGGAGAGGGGAGCAGGGAGAGAGGGAAGAAATCAGTTAAAGATGCGGTAGATTGCCATAGGGTGACCCAGGTAGACCATCCTTTTGCGTAGACTCACCCTCCTGAGCAGGAGTACAACGCGCAACCTGTGGCAAAGATGACGAATATCACTCCTCTGATTAGGTTCTCTGCCAAAAGGGAAAGGATTTTTCAGGGGTCATTAAGGTCTTTAAGCAGTTCCTTTTGAGTTAATCAAGGAGAGATTATCCCAGGGAGCAGTGATGCAATCAAGGAAGTCATTTAAACTTCAGTGATACTGTAAATGTATGAAAACATAAATCTATTGGTGTTTGCACACTATATAACTAAATGAGTAGATTGTATTGCATTTAATTTTACCCCAATATTTTTTTTTACTTTCATGTAAGATTTTAGTGACAGATGTAGACCCAATTAAAGGTTGAGAGGTACAAGTTACGTCCATCAAACTTGCAAACCAGACTGCTAGAGTGGGTGCATATGTATGATGGTAATCACTGGGAAAAGAAACTGAAGGTTTTATCCAAATGCCATTTGTTTATTTGGTTTAATACCTGAGTTCAGCCAGGTAGTCCTGAGTTTTCTGTGTTCTCCTGTACTTTAAAAACTGGAATATATGGGAATATTCCACTCTAACTGTGAGAGCTGCACTAGCTCCACAAGCATGAGTAGACATGGTCCATTCTTCTTCCACTCCACAAAGTAGTCAGGTAATTTCTACAGAGACCATTTGGCCTACAAAGCCTAAAATATCTACTATCAGACGCTTTCCAGGAATAAAAGTTTATTTATCACTGATATAGATGAAAGAAAGTGCACTCTTACTATATTTGTCGTTGCTTACTAAGAAACCTTGTAAACAATACTTGCAAAATCTGGTTCATTTAACATTCCACCAATTCGTAGCTTACATTTGAATAAAAGCATTAAAATTAGTAACTGTTATTCAAAGTAACTCAATGATATTCTTATTTTTGTCTCTCTGCATATGCCAGGTTTTATTGGCTCATGAACCTAACTGCAATTGTTGTGTTTCTGGGAATTTCTTACATCCAGCACACCGGAGCCTGGGCCTTTGTTTTACTTATTCCTTTTGTGTCAGCACTGATGGCTCTCATAACTCTTTATATGATGAACTATAAACTGATTTATCAGCCAGAAAAATGTAAGTAAATCATACTTTACATTGTTTTGGGGTTTTTTTCCTTGATATACCTCCTTCTTTCTTATTTCCCATAGCTTTGAATTCACAGAGTTTGAAGATTCTTCCAGTTATTACACTTGATAGCAATAGATTCTGCAGTAATATTTATAATCTCTATCTTCTTTTATTTATTTATTTTTTTAATTTATTGGTACTGAGGATTGAACTTGGGTCCTTGTGCTTGCAGGGCAGGCGGCAGAACCACTGAGCTAAATCCCCAGCCCTTGTTATTTTATTAATTATATTGGTATGTTTAAGGTATACAATATAATGACATTCATCATTGGAAATTTGCACCTTTACACAATCCATCTTGGTTCTTATTTTTTCCCAATTCCCCTGCCCTCCCTTCAATCCCTCCACCTCCCTATCTACAAAGACTTTGTTTCCATTTTTTCTTTTTCTCATATTAATTCCATTCCCTTCTTTCTTTTCCCCTACCTCTCCTATTTCCCCTTCCCTTTTGCACCTTTATCTTCTTCTATTTTTACTTTGTGGAGAAGTGTTTAATAATGTAATATTTCAAATGAAATGAAAAGTAGAAAAAATTCATGTATATATTCACCTATCTAGCTCTCAGCTTTGACTATCAACTTATCTCCTTTGACTCTCTCCCCATTTCATTCTGATAACTTAAAGCAAAAACTAAATATTATAGAATTTCATCTGTGTATTTAGTTATACAAATTTTAATATAATGCATATTGTATAATTTATATGCATATTATGCATATTATATTATATTATAATGCATATTATATAATTTGTTAATATGTATATATATATAGCAGTTGAGGACTTTTATAAAACATAATCACAATATCATTATCATTCATACACATGTGTGGAGAGAATACTTTTTAATTTAAGTGAATTTTAACTTATACATAAAAACATAAAAATTTTACATGCCTGTGGTATACTATGTGATATTTCCATATACGCATACATTGTATAATGTTTAGGTTAAAGGTATTTATCTCCTTAAGCATCTATCATTCCTTTATGATAAAGGCTCTTGTAAATATGCAGTGCATTACTGTTAGCCATAGTCTCCCTACTGTGCAGCAGACACCAGGGCTTCTTGTTCCCAGGAGTAGCTTAGTATCAACTGATCAATCTTCCCCATCTCTCCCTCCCTCTACTTTCTCCAGCCTTCTGTAATTATTATTCTACTCTCAACATCTATGAGATCAGTTTTTTTAGATTCCACACATGAATGCAATCATGCAGTAGCTATCCACTTTTCCTAATCCACTTGTTGAAGAGTCTGTCCCTTCCTCATTGTGTGGTCTCGACGTACTGTTGAAAATCATTTGGCATATACGAGTGTATTTCTATGCTCTTTATTCTGTTCCGTGGGCCTATCTACCAATCTCTACAACAAAAGCACACATTTTCTATTACTCTTCCTTGCCGTATGCTTTGAAATCAGGGAATGTAAATTATCCAACTATGCTTTTTCAAGATTGCTTCTACCATTCAAAATCCCGTGGGATTTCAGATGAATTTTAGTATTTTTTTAATTTATGCAAAAATAAGCTGGTAGTATTTTGATAGGGATTGCACTGAATCTGTAAATCACTCTGGATAGTAGGAATGTGTATATATATATTTTGGTACCGGGGATCGTACTCGGGTCCTTGTGCTTGTGAGGCAAGCGGCGGAACCCCTGAGCTAAATCCCCAGCCTGGTAGTAGGAATATTTTAACAATATTAAATCTCCCAACTCACAAACATGGGATGTCTTTCCATTTATTTGTATCTAAAATTTGTTTTAGCAAATGTTTGCAGTTTCAAGTATATAAGCTTTTCACCTATTTGGCTAAGTTCATTTATAAGTATTTGTCTTTTTGATGTGATAGTAAACAGTATCTAAAAAATTTTTTTGCAGATTAATCATTGCAACTTATAGAAATGAACTTTGTTTTTGGTTGTTGATTTTGTATCCTGAAACTTTGTTAAATTCATCTATCAGTTCTGATATTGTGTGTGTGTGTGTGTGTGTGTGTGTGTGTGTGTGTGTGTGTGTGTGGTGTGTTTGTATGTAGTCTTTAGAATTCAGGACAAATAAGATCATGTCATCTGTGAACAAAGGTGACTTTACTTCTTATTTCTTGATTCCTATAGCTTTGTTTTGGAACTTTGAGCATGATGTTCAATAATAGATGCTAACAGGGCATCTTTGTCGTCTTATAGGAAAAGCCTTTAATCTTCATTGAGAATGTTAGCTGTAGGCCTTTTATTATGTTGTTAGTTTCCTTCTATTCCTACTATGTTAGGTGATGTTTGTCATGAAAAGATGTTGCTTTTTGTCAAATGTTTTTTCTGCATCCACCGAGATGATCACCTGATTTTGTCCTCCATTTATTAATATGATTACATTTTTTTTATTTTATGAAAAAATACAACACAATTTTATAACCAAATAGTAAGAGAATAACAATAGTTATTACACTGTATGTCCAAACCCAGAGTTTTTACAAGGAAGAAAATTACAAAGATTGGAGTTACGTTAATTTTTGTATGTTGAACCATCTTTGCCTTCTAGATATAAATTCCATTTGGTTGTTCCTTATGATCCTTTTCATGAATTTGATTTGCTGTTATTTTGTTTAGTATCTCAGCATTAATGTTCATCAGGGATATTGATCTGTAGTTTTCTTATTGTATCTTTGTATTGGGGCAATGCTGGACCTCATAAAATGTTTTGAAGTGTTCTTTCTCTTTAAATTCTTTGGAAGAATTTAAGAAAGATAGGTGTTAATTCTTCAAGTGGTAGAATTCTCCAGTGAAGTGATCTAGTCCTGGGCTTTTCTTTATTGTGAGCATTTTGATTATGCCTCAATCTTTTCACTAGTTTGGGTCTTTTCAGATTTCTTATTTCTTCACAATTCAGTTTCACTAGGCAGTATGTTTGTAGGAAAGTATCCATTTCTTCTAGTTTATACAATTTGTTGATATGTAAAGTAATTGCTTGTAATGGTCTCTTTCAATCCTTTTCATTTCTGTGACATTAATTGCAGTATCCTTTTCATTTCTAATTTTAGCTATTTGAGTATTCTCTTTTTTTTCTTAGCCTAGGTAAATGTTTGTCAATTATGTTGACCTTTTTAAAAAGCTAACATTTGATTTCATCATGTTTTTTCATTGTTTTTCCATGCTCTATTTTGTTTATCTCTTTTAATTTTACTTCCTGTTTCTATCTTGCTTTGCTTTTTGTGGTTTCTTGAGGGTCAAGTTTAAAATTTTTATTTGCAATCTTTCTTCTTTTGTCATGTAAATATTAACTGCCATAAATTCCCCTCTTAGTTCTTACTGCTTTTGTTGCATCTCATAAATTTTATTTTGTAGTTTTTTATTTGTCTCCAGATATTTCCTAAATTCCCTTATGAATTCTTTGACTCATTGCGTATGAAAAGCTTTCTTTGTAGTCTCTTTCATGACAATTTTTAGATTTTTATATTTGGGGTCTACTTTTTTTAATTTTTTTATTTTTTTGGTACTGGGGATCAAACTCAGGACCTTGCGCTTGTGAGACAGGCGGTGGCACCACCGAGCTAAATCCCTGGCCCATATTTGGGGTCTATTAATCCTTAATCTATGGTAAAATTTGCAAATATTTGCAGATTTGTAATATTTGCATATTATCATTAAATTATTCCAATGTCACTTATTTTTAAAAATCTATGTTTATCACCTTGACTTGAAAAGCAATCCTCATTGCATACTTTCACTTGCACTTATGGAATTTCTACCATTTTCTTGGTCATTCTTTGACTTGAAATATGATAACTACTTAGTCCATGTTTGTTATTGTTAATCTGAGCATAGAAATGAGACATAACTCAACTGACTTCCTTATGACCTTACAGAAAATAGTCAGAACCATAATTCAATTTTTATTTTCCTTGGCCTTGAACTTATTCTGTTACACCACATGGTGAGACTGTGAGGAACAGAAAATAGTATCCACACAAGCCCCTGCCACTGTTTCTCAGAGCTCTGTGGACTATGAGCCACCAGTTAGTGACACATGTCCTCCTGGTAATCCAAAGGAGGGGGCCAATATGCAAAAGGTCTCAACATACAAAAGGAAGGAAGACGAGAGAGAGAGAGAGAGAGAGAGAGAGAGAGAGAGATTATTTGCATTTTTGTTGAAAACCTTTTTTGCATTCTCCTGGGTGTCTAATATAATTTGGGGTTTCTTTAAGTACACATACACATTTATACACATACATACATACATATACACATGCACATATACATTATTTTTTAGATTCAAACTGTCTAAAGAACGATCCTACATTCATTCATTCGTTTTCCATATCCTCCTGAAACTATCCATCCAAATAAATTGAATTCTTCTCCAAATAATACAGACCTACATAATCTCCTCTGCTTACAGCTACTCTCTTGAAATCTGTGTATTACATAAGTTTACCATGTGATAAGGCAAGTTTTCTCTGAACATTAACCAGAAAACAATTTACTAGCTGCAAATACAATTAGAGTAAAAAATGTTCATTGTGGCTTACTTTACACTAGGCTCTACAGTACAATGACTATTTGCAGGTGGTTTGTTTTTTGTTTGCTTTTCACTATTTCCAAATTATTACTTCACTGAACTATGGTGAAATAAAAGTCTGTCTTCCCTCCAGCAAAGCATATAATCCTTTTTTGGCTTCTTCTCTCTTGATGACTAAATTGGAAATTCTTCAAAGCTGTAATTAAAAGCCATAGGTGACCTTAAAGAAATGATTTTTTATATGCTACCTTTTATTTTAAGGTAACTTTTCAAATGTGGACTATGCATTCCATTATGTTTAGCTGTCAAGCACGGTCCTCATTTGCATTTCTTCCCACTGCTATAATTTTGAGAACTGGCAGGTGACCAAAGGAGAAAAAATGTGCATCTACCATCTAGAGTGCAACGTAGGCTTTTTTATTATAATTAAGCA